AGAATCTGCCAATATTGTAGTTTAGGTAAAGTAGAAGACGAGGTACATTTTATTGTGGATTGTTCCATGTATGGCAGCGAAAGAAACGTTCTTTTCGATTTTGTGTCAAGCAAATACTCCCAATTTAAGTATTTGAATAGTATAGAGAAATTTATATTCCTTGTAGTCTTTAACAAACCAGCTTTAACTACTCATACTGCCAACTACATTTATAAGATTACCAGAAAGCGAGAGGAAGTTGAACGTACTTGTGTACTATAGCCGTTTTATTATCAACATTGATGATGTACTTTGTCTATATGTGACCTGTCTTTAGCCCAGTGGGGCAAAATGTACAATAAAGGTCTTCATTCATTCATTCATTAATGCCGCCACCAACACAGGGGACAATACAATACTCATTTTCACCTGGGCGAAGTGAGGAAAGTCGTGTAAAGTGCCTTTCCCATGGGCACAAGATCGGTGGCATGTCAGGACTCGAACCCGGGACCTCTTGATTCTGAGTCGGGCACTCTGCCTCTACGCCACACGACCCCACCGATACGTTTGCTATGACAGGAGGTCTGGATTTATAAGGCAATCCGTGGTTGATATGCGAGTTTATACAAACCACTTGAGCACGTTTCGCGTGTGAAAACTAGGCTGAAGTCTACAGCTATTGTGTATAAACGCCCCTCGGAACCTATCTCGACTAATCACACTAAATCTTATTATCCACAAGAAGAAAAGAATCTAATCTAGGAGTAAACCTTGGAGTTCATTCAGGCCGCCGGCTTGTTTGCGGGGTTTTGTTGGAAAGGTTAAAACATGTCAAGGCGCGGTGGTGATGTTTTAATAAACGATGCCATGGCGTCCTTAGCGACGAGATAGCGCTCAGGCATGTCGAGACGGAGGGTCAATACTCTGGAGCTTTCAAAACGCCGGAGTTCGGGACAGGGTCCTCTGAGGTGAAGAATGTTGGGTGTGTGTCGACAACAACGTGCAGTCGACCACGTCACTTGAATCGATTGTTTTTCTTAATTGTTGGTAAGCTTTAAGAGAGAGGGAGAGAGGGAGAGAGACAGACACACACAAACACACGGAGAGAGAGAGACAGATAGACAGACACAACCACGCACACAGAGAGACACAGGGACACAGACACACACACACACACACACACACACACACACACACACAAAGAGAGAGACAGAGAGAGAGAGAGAGAGAGAGAGAGAGAGAGAGAGAGAGAGAGCATCACTACGAATTCGAAGATAAATAAATATTCATACTTTGCCATAGCTTCATGCAAACAAACATCTGGATTATTTCCCACTTTCTCCGGATATGTTGTCCGCCATACAAAAGACAAATCCCGGTAATTACCTCCACAATAGGTCTGTTATCCCGAATACCGTATGTAGACCGTGCAAGTGGTTGGATTATGAACGTATTTCTTGGTGTGTTCTCTGGTGCAAATTGGAGCTTTAGTTATATTTCTACTCGTCCTTAAAACAGATCAGAGGATAAGATATTTAGTCATATTTAGTTTCCATGATACTGTACTATACGCTATATCTAACATCTACTAAAGGAACATCCAGTTTGGTGAACAATTTCAACAGCAAGTGCAATATTACAATAGCCTTATGCGAAGCGAAAATCCGGATGGTACCCAGGCTAATATTACAAATCCCAAACATCTTACAAGCACCTTCGTACAAACACCTGGCTTCTACAAGATATCATAATTCATAAATCAAATCCCCATAATTATAATAATAACAGGGATTAAAGTTGTCTTGAGGGCCAGGAAAAGGTCTAGACCGTGTAAGTGTGGGATTCTTAGCTTCTGTCAAAATCTATGTATTTTTTCACATCAGACCTTCAACTGATCCACCTTGTCCTTCAGAATACGTGTAGGACCAGGGAATATCGTGCAATTAAGTCATAGATGTTTGGTGAAATAGACATTGTCTTTTATTATGGAAGGACTACAAAACAAAATAGTTAAGAGCATACGATAGTTAAGCCTTAAGATAAAGGGTAAACAATACTAGTATATAAACCACTATACTTGGCTTCAATGAACGACCGATCGGCACAAGAGGAACTTGAACGTTTTTCTGAAGTTGATCTGCTATGTGTCGATAGATGGCGCTAGTATTTAGTATTCTTGTGAAGGCTGCACTGCATCTGCGGTACGTGGAAAATATACTAAAAATAAATTGTAAATAGTAGTAATAGTAGTATATCGTCCCGCAAGATATAATATTGGTACATATAGATACCTCTCATAGGATATAATTTATCACACAGTTTTTTTCATATTACTATTTCACGTTGCAGATTTTATTTGCAGAAAAAGACGAATTTTAAAAGGCTCTTTTCTGAGTTGGAAAACTTGAAATGGAACATTGCCCCAAAAGTTTTATTCAGCCCGCAGCTCCAAACGGTAACCAGGCATCGCAGATGGAATTTTAATGCCCCAATTCGCATGAAAAGACGTAGAAAATAACACGAATGACGTCATAATTCCCACGTCAGCCGCTTTTTACTGAGTTTTAGCAGAGAACAATACAAAAGAGGATTTTATTTTACGCGTCACGATATGGATAACGCAGCGTTGGGTCGCCTTACAGTCACCAATTCAGGTCCGGACTGGCCCAAATCGTGCCCCTTTGTGCTGACCCCTGGTAGTGGTCATCGAAAACCTCTTTCCAAATTGACATTGTTTGACCGCCCTGGTGTTTTAAAGGGATTATTTTTTCAGCCTGAAAACATGTGTCTTTAATGGTGCGGCCATTCTGACCCGCCCTCGCCAGGGTGACAGGCAAAACACAGAAGTAGCCTACTCTCCAAGCAGAGGTTGATGGGGAAAGATCGTTGCCTTTTTATATATGGCCACTTTTTTCGCTTCCCCACCAACCCTTGGACCCTCTCTGGCCAATGGATACTGCCTGGCCATTTTTATACTGTCTTTTTGCCACCCTAGGATCTGCTTGTAGATTAGCAGCGAACCAATCACACAAGGCGTTTCATTGTGTTTGTTTGTTTTGTATGTTTTTGGAAAAAAAACCCTCTGCAATCGACTACAGTGTTCTGCTGTTCTGACTCAAGAAATGGAAGTGACTTGTATCAAACGCAGGTCTGCGAAAGCCAAACAACAAACAACGTACAGTGCTCGACGAAAACTTTCCTTGATATCAATTTGTACAAGTGATTTAAAGGAATGGAATGGTGCTAGAATAATCAAAATGGCGCTTCCAAGTAATCACTACAAAAATGCCGTTAAGTGCTTCACTTTTGTTCTCCTTATATTTTAAAGCTCGTTGTTTATTTTGCACGCAGCACTCATTTAGGGTCCACTAAGAAGGATGTCACCCGCTCCAACAAGTACGTTCACTCGGCCACAGTCAGGCGGTACGGAGGGCCCAAACCCAGGCAAGTCCAATAAGTTTTAAACTTGAGTGCAGCGCCACACTGTCCTTGTTATGTTTTGATGTTTATACAATAGACAGACAAAAAATAATGAATATAGTCACAAGTAAATCTAGTAAATCTTTGCCAAAGACAAACATAGACATTTTCAATCTACTTATGTCATGCCCCGACTCCATATCTATGAACCTAGGCCAATATCTCGTATGTAACGCTTTAGAAAAGAGAGAAAGAATTGTGACAGACAGACATGTTTAATGTACATCATGTCAATACGCCTTTTACGTTCCATTTATGTAGCTTTAGTTTCCAGGAATAGACTAGTATGATTGTAAAGACCACATTGTCATCCTTGCCATACATGGCCATACATTGTACCATGTACAACTGTCGAGCAATAAAGATCATTCATTCATCTATTGTTTTGACGAATAAAAAAAAAACAGGCAGCAGCGTCGACCGGCTACTGAGGGCGGTAACGCGGACAGGCGTACGGACTGGTCCCGCGTGGACAGCCTGATCGAGGCGGTGTACAAGCCGCCCAAGATGCCGGCGTCGTACGAGGTCCGACAGCTGGCGCACGCAGGACAGTACAGGAAAGAACAACGTGAGTAAACATTTAACCGTACGGATCAATGTTGTAGGTTCTTATCCTTGTTACGTTTTGATGAATATTAAAAAAAACAGGAAGAGACAACGTGAGTAAACCACTCGAATCGTAGGGATCGCTGATGAAGGTTAGTAATCCAGGTAAACAATACTCATAGGAAATTCAAACAGTATCCAGTGTCAGAGTTTGAATTTCCTTGAGAATCGTAGGGATCAATTAGTCCCAATCAGACTCCTTTGCAGGCTGAATAAATAGTAAAAGTTGGCCGGACACAGAGGGTCCAATTTGCCTGCAGGATTGGACCCTTTCTGGCCGGCTAAATTCTCTGGCCAATTAAAACCCCTTTTAAGACTGATTTCTACTACTTGTTCAGCCTGCAAATGAGTCTGGTGGAGAATATGAGTAAAGTGAATACGTTGTGGTTGAGCAGCCCGCTTGTGAGTACACCGTTACACTAAAGTGCTTGTTCAGCTGTAATTCGTTCCGTCACCCTGGCTTGCGACCAACAAATGCTAAAACGGAAGAACTTCGTACAAGTATTCAGTCTAGCTCCAACGTTAGTACACAAAAAATGAAACAGTCGCAGCGCTCGGCCTTAACAGCAGGTAACGTTACGAATATCTACTAGACTCATACATCAGGTTAAATCCGTACACTATATATGTATGGTTATGTAGGAACGCATCGTTGAGATACAGTATGTGAAGCCATATTTATGTTTACTGAAGGAAAACATATCGTTTTTCTCAGTTTCTTCTTCTTTTCCAAACAAATAAGTTCAATGACCTGAACCAGACCTCCTGTTACCTTGGTAACTAGTGTTGGGTTACATCATGTTGTAATTTTATAGCAGGAGGGATTTAGACTCCTGTCTGACCATATATGTGAATGTGTTTGAGTAAAAATTAATAGAGCAGACCACATGCGAAGGTAAACATTATGCATTTGCTTTGCAAACGTTACCTTTCTAGTTAGCGTTATATCATGTCTTCTAGATCTGAAACAAATTAAAAGTTTGTTCTTTTTCCTTCTTTGTCCTTGTAGATGAGTTGCCGTCGTTTCGCGCGACGTACTTTAACTCGGCGCCCACGCATAACGGTCCGGACGACTTCAAACAGACCATAGAGAACTTCAAACGGGCCCAGGAACAGGGATGGCGCCCGGGAACTAGTATACAGAAGGCCGCAGGTAAGGGCGATGACGCCAAGCTATGTAGTGATGATCTGCTTAGTCTACACTGTACCATCAAGCATTTGTTTTTGCTCTGTTTCTTCTTCTTCTTACGTTCCAAACACTGACCAATAGTCAATGACCTGACCCAGACCGTCTGTTACCATGGTAACTGGTGTTGGGTTACATAATGTTGCAATTTTATAGCAGGGGGGATTTAGACTCCTGTATATATATGAATATGTTTGAGTTAGAATTAACAGTAGGTTATGCGAAGGTACGGTAAACATTATGCATTTGCCTTGCATATATTATTTGACATTGTGTTTATCACGGTTCTTCTACCTGCGCAGCGCGAGTAGCGGGGAAGCCGACGGGGAAGTTTGCTGAGGCGGAGGACGTGAGGCTGGGTCTCGGGCCGCCGAACGGCTTCGCCCGGGGCTGGGCTGAGGCCAGGACGGAGGCCGTCATCAAGGCTGCACAACGCGCTGCCTCCAGGTCAGCATTGTACATCGGATAGTATCTGTATCGGTACAGCCACTATAACCGCCCTTCGGCGTAACACACCAGCTAAGGTCAGCATTGTGCATTGAATGGTGATACACATGTACAGTCGAACCTGCAATAGCGACCACCCCTGTATAGAGACCACTTGTCCATTACGACCACTTTTGTCGGTCCCTTGAATTTTTCCCATTGACTCGAGTGTTAAGAATCTTGCCTATGGCGTCCACCTGTCCAAGGCGTCCACCTGTCCACAAGTTTTCGGTCCCGAGACGGTCCGAGGCTGCCCAGTACGACCACCCCACCACCACGCTGCCAATCCCACCGTTTGACTGTATTACTATTCTCATCTTGTCTGAATAGTGATACACATGAATTAACATTTTCAATATGGATATATGGCAGTGCATCTCAAACATTCAGAAACAATCAATTAATGGGTTGTCACGATTATGCAAATTAGACACCAGGATATGTAAATTAGATGTTGTGATTATGCAAATTAGTAGACGATCGTATTCAGTGTATACGAACTGGATTAACTCAGTGTCCTATTTCCCTTCATCAGGTCATCCCGGGGTGGCAGAGACAGCTCTCGTGCAACATCTCGCGCGAAGTCGCGTGCGCACACCCTGCCGGTCATCGTGGAGGAACAGTCGGACAGGAGACGTCACGAAGGGGAGACAGAGATGGGCAAGGTGAACAGCAACTTCATCATCATGCTTATGTTGAACTTACTTTAGCTATTAGTTGGTTTTATTATGACAATCTGTCAGTCGGTTCTTGAGTTATTCTCCCAGATTTTTAAACAAACTAACATGCAGTTCCAGACCAAGCTGCTAGGGGGCCCAAACTAATGTCACTTCTTCCGTAGCTATCTGCCATCTAAAATTGTGACCCTAGCATATCTTGATCACGAGATATCAAAACCAGATGTTCTGCTGTAGTACATAGGAAAGCCGCCAGGGGGTCAAAAATCCAATCATTTCTAGGTCTCAAAAAGACCTACCCAGCTACCAAGTTTCATAACAATCCATCAAAAACTTGTTGAGTTATCGTGCTAAACCACATATATACATACAACCATGGAGGAAAAAATGGTATAACGTTAACATATTTCTACGCGTTGAATCCACAGAGCACGCCGTACAGACCGACCCAGATGGACCTGACGGACCTGGAGCGGTGGAAGCAGGAGCGGGCGACCGACGCCTACATCAATGAAATGGAGAAGTTCCGCAAACAGCGCCACCGGCGGTTCTTCAAGGAACTGGAGGAGGTGGAGCACGAGCAGATAGACACATACCACAGGCAACTCAGGTACCAGCTAGTAATGGGATCTGGATATGTAGCGTGCGTAGTCAATAGTAGAGTGCGTAGTCCAGTGGTTAGCTGCCCTGCGTCTGGACTAAGAGGTTGGGAGTTCGAATCCCGGCTGTTGTCACTCACCTGACATGCACGCTACTGTGAAGTATCGCAGTCCCTAGGACGGGACGTTAAGCTGTGCTGTTCATTGTGCTTGTCGAAATGAGCTGGGGGATTTCCCAGGTACAATGAACCAGTAAATTTTGTACATAGTGCCTGTGTCTGGTTGATTTCGGAACTGGACTGGCAAATGAACTCTACAGTGGCTAAACTCCCCTGGCCAATTATTCTATTTTGCTAAATTTTACTGTTTTTGAACCCGTGTTGTTAATGATTATCATTCTGATGGAGACTAAGACTTTCTATTACAAAAACAAAAGTGTTTGTTGTCCATTATCTCTGTTATAATTCTTACACACTGACGATGCATCTTTCTTCCAACAGGGAAAGTAAGAAGAAGTATTTTGAGACGGTGGACCAGCAGCGGGCCCAGCTGAAGGATCTGCGGGACCGCTACCTCAGAGAGCAGATTGACCGCTTCAAACGCTTCCACCTGCGGAACGAGGACGTCCAGCAGTACCTGGAGACCCGGTCCATCCCGAGGGACGACTACGGGCTACCCGAGGGCCTGGAGGGCGAGCTCCCTCGGGTCTTCTCCCCCAAGGCCCCCCTCCCTCCCAAACCGCCGTCCGTCAAGTCCGTCATGCGGGCTAAAAACCTGAGCAACTTCGCGAGTATATGGAACCAGAGGGCCGCTCAGCCTAACTGGGCGCCTCAGACTGTGGACGACGAGAAGTTGTTGCCAGATATCAAAAAGTTCTTACCGGCGAGAGAAGAAACGCCACCAAAGAAGGCTACTGAGAAAGTTTACACACAGAAGCCTCCTTCGAGGCAGGCGAACGGACAAAAGCCGCAATCTCGCGCCTCGCAAAAAGCGACAACATCTAACGACAAGGGGACCACCAAAGCAGCGACGGGGCCGCAGAAGGCGAAGTCGCCGAAGAAGGGCATCAGGCTGGCGACCAGGGGGTCGCGTAAGTTCGGAACGCGGGGGTCCAAGCGGTCCTTCAAAGTAGGGTCGAGGCAGGCGTCGAGAGGACAACACGACACGAAACCGCACCACGATTCAAGAATGCCGCTCATTGTACAGAAGGTAGAGAACAGAGTGTCGCCCAACTCGCCTGAAAGATAGTCTAGTCTGCACACGGTGCTATGTATAGCTGACAGTAGCCTCCGTAGCAGGCTTATAGACCTGGGGGTTTGGTGGTCTTCGGCTGTTTTCTGATTAGCCCAGTTCTAAAAACGGGGGTTATTCAATCAGGCCGGCTATGTTGTCTATATGCAATCAGAAAATAGCACATAAAAGCTCTTAAGATCATGAAGACCCCCAAAACCCCCAGTTTTTGGCACGCTATGGAGGCTAAAGTGTTTTGATTTTTTGAGAGACTAAATGGGGGGGGGGGCACTTATGCTGCTCTTAGATATTTGAAAAGTAACGGCTAAATGCTGCTAAAAGTTGTCATTTTCCAAATAACAGGACCGGTTTCTAACAAAGTCTTGTTAATGGTGCAAATGTATTATTGCGAAATTTGAAGCCTAATGTGTTATTTGTGGTTTTGATGATATTATATATTGGATTTCAATTACATCTCATTTACAACGCATTGATTACTGGCACGGTACGGCTGGAAATTTACCTTATGATACACGAAATGCTGCTATTTGTAAATAAAAAGATATTTCCTGTAAATAGTTATAAGTTGATGTAAATTTTTGAAGTTCTCTTGTTCTGTTTACCGTGTAAACGAAGCAAACGTTGCTGACGGCTTTGTATTTTGAAGTTTAAAAATTTTCAATATTTTTTTTATTTTGGTCTTTTTTTTTAAATGCTGCTTAGATGTCACATGATTGGAACATGCTGGCAATATGACTAAAGGCATTGGTCGCCAATCAATAAAGACTGTACATTGATATGATAGTGTGTTGTTATGTTTACCGAAGGAAAACATTGTTTTTGCTCTTTTTTCTTCTTCTCCAAACAAATAAGGTCAATGACCTGAACCAGACGTCTGTCACCATGGTCATTAGTGTAGGGTTACATCATGTTGCAATTTTATAGCAGGAGAGATTTAGACTCCTGTCAAAATATATATGAATGTGTTTTAGTAAGAATTAACAGAGCATATTAAATATTAGATATTTCATGTATATCATCTCAGTCATATCAGATATATATGTGTGGTGGTGGTGGGGGGGTGTGTTGCGTAGCCCTTAAACTGAAGATAAATTTTCGTTTCAGACAGATTCCTAGTAATTTGTGCGATTTTATTTCGAACATTTTCATTGACATAATCACCACATTAGTACCTCTCCATTCGTTATCTATGAGGACAATACATGCAGTACACATTGTAAAATAAAATCTAATACATGCTACACACTATTACCATCCCCACCGTCAATATATGCCAGTAAATAACATAAATAGAAGTTAAACATGCAATATTCAGTGTGATAATTAAGGGATATCATTAAGGCTACGAATTATCAGTATAACCCTTATTTCCTTGGGTGAAAGCTGGGTGGGAAGTCGTAGTAGTAGTACAGTCTTCACAAAAGTCCATTTTGTCACAAGTAGGATTTTTCTGTACACTTAGTTCATGTAATCCTTATTTGCTAGCCTGGCATCCAGCCTTGTACAGCAGGCTGTAGGGGCTCGTGGGGGACAGAAGCTGTAGTATCCTGGATACCAGGCTATTGTTTTCTAGTCACTTTACCGTTTGAGAAGTTGTTTTGATACGTTGCCAATTGTTGCTGTCCTTGGTACTAAATTGCCTTCATTCTGACACTAATGTTGCTGTCCTCCGCGCCTAGCTGAGACTCTTAAATGTAATCTTCTCTTTAGCGAGGATAAAATTGAGAGCTTTGTCAAGCGTGGAAGGCTTCTTGGGCGCTGGTTTTTGCACAAGATCCTTCAGTAGTACCTTGTAAGAGCTTTCTATTTTATCTGAGAGTGTCTTGATGTTCTGAAGGGCCCCGGTGAAGAACTCCCATGCGTACCGCTTTTCCAAACTTTCCCGGACTTTGCTCAAAGCATCATTGGTGGCCTGAATGGCTAACTGTCCCTCCTCTTCTTTAGTGGCCTTCAAAACGGTCTCCCCTATCTTCATAGAACTGGACAAGCTATTGATGGCATGGGCAGTCTGGAGTGAGTTGTTCTGGGCAGCTTTCTCTACCTTCTTAAGATCTAGACCCAGATTCTTGATGGCCTCCTTTAGCTCTTTGCCCTTGAGGTTCTTGACTGAAACCATGGAAGCTTCAAGGTCGACCGTGTTTTTGGTCAATGTGTTCTTGGCAGCTGCCTCCATCTTCGGGTCGATTTTCTTGCGGGTCTTCAGCGTGTCGTATTGAGACCTCTTCATGACGAAGAGGGCGTGGAGCAGCTCGGACTTGTGGCTGGCGTTGGAGTACTTGACGGCTGCGTCCAGCTTGTCGGCGGCGGTCTGCAGGGACGTGATGGACGTCATCACGGAGCCCACCACTTCCTCTCCCAGGTGGGTGATGGGCGACTTTGTGGCCGTGCCTTGGGCCGATGCAGCGGACGCATTGGCGGCCCCTGATTGGCTGGTTTGTGTGGCATTGGCGGCCCCTGATTCGCTGGCTTGTGAGGCATTCTGTGCCGAAGTGGATTGATCGGCAGACGACGCATTGGCAGCCGCTGATTGGCTGGTTTGTGTAGCATTGGTAGCCGATGATTGGCCGGTTTGTGTGGCATTGGCAGCCGCTGATTCGCTGGTTTGTGTTGCATTGGTAGATGCTGATTGGCTGGCTTGCGTGGCATTAGCAGCCGATGATTGGCTGGCTTGAGTGCCATTGGCAGCCGCTGATTGGCCGGTTTGTGTGGCATTGGCAGCCGCTGATTGGCTGGTTTGTGTGGCATTGGCAGATGCTGATTGGCTGGTTTGTGTGGCATTGGTAGATGCTGATTGGCTTGTTTGGGTGGCATTGGCAGTCGCTGATTGGCTGGTTTGTGTGGCATTGGCAGTCGCTGATTGGCTGGCTTGCGTGGCATTGGTAGATGATGATTGGCTTGTTTGTGTGGCATTGGTAGATGATGATTGGCTGGTTTGTGTGGCATTGGTAGATGCTGATTGGCTTGTTTGTGTGGCATTGGCAGTCGCTGATTGGCTGGCTTGTGTGGCATTGGTGGTAGATGCTGATTGACTGGCTTGTGTGGCATTATTGGTAGATGCTGATTGGCTGGTTTGTGTGGCATTGGTAGCCGCTGATTGGCTGGCTTGTGTGGCATTGGTAGCAGATGCTGATTGGCTGGCTTGTGTGGCATTGGCAGCCGCTGATTGGCTGGTTTGCGTGGCATTGGCAGCCGCTGATTGGCTGGTTTGTGTGGCATTGGCAGCTGCTGATTGGCTGGCTTGCGTGGCATTGGCCGAAGCTGATTGGCTGGTTTGTGTGGCATTGGCAGAAGCTGATTGGCCGGTTTGTGTGGCATTGGCAGAAGCTGGATTGGCTGGCTTGCGTGGCATTGGTGGTAGATGCTGATTGGCTGACTTGCGTGGCGTTGGTGGTAGATGCTGATTGGCTGACTTGCGTGGCATTGGTGGTAGATGCTGATTGGCTGACTTGCGTGGCGTTGGTGGTAGATGCTGATTGGCTGACTTGCGTGGCGTTGGTGGTAGATGCTGATTGGCTGACTTGCGTGGCGTTGGTGGTAGATGCTGATTGGCTGACTTGCGTGGCGTTGGTGGTAGATGCTGATTGGATGGCTTGTGTGGCATTGGTGGTGGATGCTGATTGGCTGACTTGTGTGACATTAGTAGCCCCTGATTGGCTGGCTTGTGTGGCATTGGTGGTAGATCCTGATTGGCTGGTCTGTGTAGCGTTCTGTCCGGAAGTGGTTTGCGCTGCTGCAGACGATACGTTAGTAGTAGCCGATTGGCTGGCTTGTGTGGCATTGGTGGTAGATCCTGATTGGCTCGCTTGTGTGGCATTGGTAGCAGCCGATTGGCTGGTCTGTGTGGCATTGGTGGGAGATTCTGATCGGCTCGCTTGTGTGGCATTGGTAGCAGCCGACTGGCTGGTCTGTGTGGCGTTCCTTCCAGACGATGCATTGGTAGCTAAAGGGGACGACACATTCACGGGTTTGAGCAGCTCATCGGCGATTGTCACCATAATCGGTGGTCCTTTAGTGACAACTTCAACTCCGTCGGGATTTAACTCTATCGTGATTCTCTTGCCGTGGTCTGGGTCGATGGCGCTCTCCTGCGGTTCGCTTGCCGCCTTTTCCTTTTCCGACATCTCGTGTATGACCTCTTTTATCATCATGTCCAGATTGTCGTTCATCTGGTGTAGGATGTTCAGCTGCTTACGATGGCGAGTGTCCTCACTCTTGTCAAGGTTGTTGTTCATCTGGTGTAGGATGTTCAGCTGCTTACGTTGGCGATTTTTCTCATTCAAATTCCTCACTTCTGTGCGTGAAAAAGAATACGTAATATTAGTCACGATTTATACAATCATCATCTAAGACTGTAACTTTGCTGAATTGTCTAGGCACCCTCCACATACTAAGACCAGTAACAGAAAATAGCTCGATGTCTTAATATGATATTTTGACGTTTACGTCAATTGGCTTCCCTTACTTATACAGCAAATTTCGCTGAGGTACATCATAAATTCAAACAAATGCACCTAGAATTAGAACACATTATACACTTTGGTTCCATCCATTGGTATTCGCAGTCGTCATGCTTTAGACAGTAGCACCGTGTCCATGTTATCATTATGGCAAAGCATTGTTTCAAGCATGTCAATCTATTATTTTTACCCAAGACATATATTTACATACCTGCTGCTTTGTCTTCTGTGCCACCGCTGTACCTTGAGTGTTTCACATTTCGAGCAATGTTGCTCGGCCGGCGATTTTGTCTGTTTTCTTTTGCATGGCCTGCGGCAACGGATTGTCTGTATCTGTCCAGCCTAGAAGTGAGATGAACAAACGATTGGTTTGCGTGTAAGACTTTTGCCTTTTTTGCTTATGTACATACACTAATGCATCCCGGTTGTATAGTTCGCCTTTGTATATTTGAAGCTAAAATTCACACAAAGGAATTACAGCAGAAATACGGACATATTAAACATCAGTCAGTACCGTCGTGGGAATTGACAACAATAGTACCGAATAAACTCAGTGAACGTATTGTTCCGATATTCCTGAAGTTTGCAATTTACGCCTGGGACATTTCAGATCAATTAACAAGCCTCACTGAGCTTTATTTATTCATTTATTCATTCATCTCAAAACTGCCGGGTAGCCCATTCAGCTAGTAGAAGATGCTTTCCAATGGGGCCCAGCGTACAATTTCAAAGGACAGGACAGGACATGATAACATTTAGTCAGACAACAAAAAATGGACAGTCAAATAAAATCCTATGCGTTAAGACAAAAGCATATCCGTAAATCAAAGTCGTCATAACGTTCCAATATCAAAAACCATAAAGTCAGTAAATTTATGTGGAGCTAGAATTCGAATGCAAAGGTAGAATTGAAAACTACCCGGCAACACTCGTGGGATCGGGTGGCGTAGCGGCAGAGTGCTCGACTCTGCCGCTACGCCACCAAGAGGTCCCGGGTTCGAGTCCTGACATGCCCTTGTGCCCTTGGGAAATGCACCTTACACGACTTTCCTCACTAACTCAAGTGAAAATGAGTATTGTCCTGTCCTGTATTTGTACGCTGTGTTTGTGGCGGCATACAATAAGTTGATATAACTTGAGTGTGCCGTCGCCATGTTTGGTCATGAAATGTTGTAATATAAAAAACCTCTCGTGATACAGTTTTATATTGTTGATGAAGAGACTTACCAATTATCAATCGCCTCTAAATAAGGATGCACCAAACGACTCTTCTGTGGAGACCAACTCCCCAGCGTACTCCGTCTTCTGTGGTTTTCATATACATCACCATTGGCTGTTGGGAGAAAAAAGGCTGTCAGATACAAGTATAAATTGACAAGGTTCCCTACTTTATTTTTCAAAGATTCAAGGCTAACAGTTGAAAGTTGCCATTGGTGTATGTAAACTATGTCGACATCATAGAAACACATAGAAATACGTATACAAATCAACACACATACACAACACAAACACACACACACACACACAAACACACACGCGCACGCACACACACCACACACACAGACACCGTGGTCAGACACACACACACACACACACACACACACACACACACACACACACACACACACACACAAACACAGTACTTCGTACAATGAACTACAGTCGAGGCACATATATATGGGATAGTCGGTCTCTGACCTCCGGGTTTCCCAACAATGGAATGTAGTTCTGGGTACGAGGGTTGTACGGCCATTGGGGAGTCCCGTGTGTTGTCAAATTTACTTCGTTTGTACGTATAATGGAGTATTTTATCTTGTATCAGTTTAAGTGTCCCTCATGGAAAAAATCAAACTTTTACACGAGTTATCAACGGACACATTGACGAGTCAGGTATGTATGTAATGTTTTTTTTCTTTGTTTGCAGGCACAGATGTGTCTAACAAGTTGTTGGACCACCTGTTCTGACTCCAAGCCCCCAGCAATGGGATCTGGTAGACAACTAAGCATACATCTGAGCTCTGTATATGTACTAGTACTTAGTTACTCGTTCATTGACACCTTCAACAATTGACGTTGTTTAGAGACCACGTTCACACTTTTGGCATGTGGTAGCCATTCCACGAAATCAGTTTTGTTCCAAATTGTTCCTAATCTTTGTGTTAGCTTAAACACTAAGGCCATCCAGATATAGTGCATCATTTGCATTTGATTAACAGAAAACCTTTTCTGGACATTTCGTTGTTCCTTATAACCAGAAATACCCTCGAAGCTACCTATGCATGAAGCCCAATGTTTGCACGTCAGAAATGTCATTATGATAGTAATGCCCATATAGGTCATAGTCTTTATGGCTTGGTAGATTGTTGGTTACATACACGGACGTTTCAAGCCATAAGCTTCGATACATCAAAAGTACATTTGAGAGAGTACAAATGTAATATGAAATGTCTACGGATGTGGTCCCTTTGAACGATTTTCGTGCGTTTTTACGAATTCCAAGAGATAATCAAAACAGAAATATGGGGTGTGACCTACAATCAGCTGCACACAGCATATGGTCGAAAAAATGAAGAGAAGGACACTTACCGGAAAAAGACGCCGTTGCCGGCACCGCATTTAGTAGCAAAAATGCTAACACAACACTTGCCCAGCCCAAAAGGGCTCGAAAACAACAATTTCTTTCTCTCATGGCTCAACACATGGAGAGATTTCTGAGCGTGTTGGCAAAAAATGTACCAGAAGACACTGGAGCGAAGTGGAAAGACCCGTTGGACAAGAACAGACAACTAGCCAATCGCAGATGTGGACAAAGAAGATGTACCATTAACTCGGACAGAGCCCTCGGACATATATAGGAAAATTACACTGTCCGATCAGTACTACTACTATTATTATCTCAAACGTCTTGATGTATAGTCTACTAGTAACTAATTAAGTTGTCACGTACACATTACAGTTTTCAACAGAGCGGTCCCGCCGTATGTACAGTCTACATTTTGTGGTTATTTTGTTCATAGTTTCTCTACTTCTGTCCATCCAACAATGAAGAAAACACAATGGCCACAATCCACACCTGGAAACTTACACCGATGCCCATTTCTTCATCTTCATCTTTGCCGGGGCTCTAAGATGTTATACAAGCCCCGGCTACACCCCCATATAGCCCCTGTTGGGGGCACTTTAGGGGGGATGTCCTGTGCGTGTTAAGGGTATCACCTAGCAGATTAGAATAGCATGGCACTGTATTAAAAAAGCACTACATGAGTGTAAATGCAGAATACAGTAACTGTATTCTTGGGCCTCAGTCAATATTATAAAAGTAGTATTATCTGGTAATTATTAATAAAACAAAAAAGAAAGAGACACAACACTTATTTGGCCCACCATTTTCTATTCATCGCCTTTACAAAGCAATGCGATTCAATTCGTACATCATAATACATATACATACCAATCAGCCAAGCATTGATATTACCTTTGCTTAGTTTTAGTTATCGTTTAACGGTTCTGTATAGTAGTATAACATTTTACCCACTCTTGGCCATTATCAGTTATAAGCAGCAACTACACATCTAATAATTGATAAAATCTAAATTCCTTGAAAATTTTACGAGTTGTAAAATATCAGTTGACTTCTGCCTGTACTGACTGCATTGAGTTAAATTAATGACATTTGAACAAAGTGACTCTGATACAATGGTTTCATAGTCTGAAAAGCTTCATAAGTTTTTGCGGATAGTGAATATACATATCACTCACTCACTCACTATCCTGGTTTAGATTATTCTGTATGCATATATGTGAATATATTAATATTAATACATTATAATGCATTATATTATTAATGTATTATTATATTATGTTATGATTATATAATACATTATTATATTATATCATTATTAATATATTATAATATATCAATGTATTCATGTATATTGATATATTATAATACATTAATGTATTAATATTGATATATTCAATCGAATAGTCCCTCACTTAAGCTTTGACAACTTTCGAAAACTCACCAAATGCAGAACAAATTTCATGCAAAACCAAATGCAGAACATATTTCATGACTGCAGTACAAACTATTCATATGTATTTTTCTCTTCCTCCATTGCATACTGTACATGCTATGGACTAATACGATTTGAAAGTAAGATAAATACAACATTTTCAAGAGCTTATTAATGGAACCATTTCTTCCTTCAAGTGGTATAAAATTGAAACTTAATAATGCAATAATTGTTGCCACATTGCCACATTTACTTGATTGTAATTGCTACACGAGAACAACCATAGAAGTGAACCTCTAAATGACATAAAATGAGTGTGTAACTCGGCTTAATGAGCACAAGAAACTAGAAAGCTACTATCATTTTACATTATTTTTCATTTTCTTCAGTTAAAATAATGTTTTCATTGAAATCCAAGCACATTACAAGAATTTTCCTACAACAATGCGATTCAAGTTGACCAAGTGATCCATGGAACGTTTTAGAAATATTTACTGACATGCAGACACACAGGTCTATTTGAAAGTCTTTTACAAAATTGTATGTTTTGATATTTTAGTTTTGATATTATGAATGATAACATTATTAATGCTATTAAAGCCTTCTATTCAGTGTAGTAGGTGCCCTTTAAACCTACCTGTGCTTTCTGTTGATGACTATGAAAAATGCTCTTAAATTAGATTCATTTCGTCAAATTTCCTCAAGTTTATCAGAACAAAAAGTGCTTTTCTACTAAAATAAGAATATAACTCAAGATGTATATATAACTTAGAGAGGTTACACCCCCCTAAGGCAAAAGTCACAGTCCCCTAAGATGAGAACAAAAAATGAAACAAAATTCTTCCCTCTACTGCATCATTAGACTTTACAACATCATGAAAAGCCGCCTACAGGCTGATTTGAACTTTTCATGAACAAAGAATGGTTCAAACAAAGTCAGCTACATGATTTAGCTTAGGCTGTCATGCTTTTGGTTTGTCTCACGAAGAAGATGTATACAAGTATTATTGTATCTTGTATATCTTTTTTTATTAAATATTGCTTTTCATACTGTAACAAACTATATATAATGTGTCCCCCTGCCAGTGTATGTTTGAAAACTTGAGAAGAAGATTAAAAGCTTTCACAAAATGGGTTAATGAAGAAGAAAGCCATGGATTTAATCAGCCAACAATGCACACAAGGAATGATGGCTTTCAATTTTTAACATTTTTGATATCGGTGTCAGTGTGAATTGTCATGAAATAACGTTTTCGACCCGTTCATCCCTCAGTGTTCACTGTGACATAACACTTCGCTCACTCGGTGGTTTGTTCGGTGGCTATACTTCCATAGGTCGACGACCAGGTGTTATGTCACAATTAACAACCTGAGGTGGGTCATTAACCCTTAATCGCTAAAGGCGTGTGCTGCAGCTTCTACGACTTACAATGTGGCTTCCACTTTCTTCACTTGTCCCGTCCACCTGCCTTGTTGGGATGACAGGGTTTCGCTGGGGAAGAATGGAGCTTTGTCATTTTGGACGCTTGCAGATGAACGGATAGGAACGGTAGCACTGGTCATCATTCCACTGTCCCTTTTCCACATATACATTCTTGAACATCATGCCGCTACACCCCTTGCCAGTCTGTTGAAGAAAGAACAACAACATACAATAAAGTGGCACATGTCACCTTTTTTAGAGTGTCAATAAAATTTAATGTACTGTGGGTGGTGGGTGATGACATTAATCAGTCTCCTCCGTTCCCAATTCTTAATACAACTAGCGTGGGAATTCAATTCAATTTATTGTTGTTAGTTTATTACTATTATTAATGATTGTATTATTTACCACTTTGTCAATTATCGTAGGGTATACGTAGCTTAAAATCCTGTTGTCATCGCCGGCCTTGTAAATATGTGTAGAGCCACATCATCAGATTTGCAATCCTCTACTCGACCAAATAGAAAATGGGATTGCAATAAAACATAACTAACATTAACGACATTATAAGTATAGTCTAGCAAACCTAAATATGCAATCTCAGCAACACATTCGAGCACACACCTTTGAGTACATGCCGACGCAGTCCTGTCCCTTGAATGCTGAGAAGAGACTGCGTTTGTCGTTGGGCTGACCCGGCTCCCAGTTTGTGTAGGTAACCGGTGACCCATCCGTAAACTTCCTGAATCCGTCTTTGCGACGAAGTCCAAACCAGACGAAATAATTCTGCCACTGCCCTTTAGGAGCTGCAATTGAAAGAGCATTATGCAGCTTATCAGTCAGACATGTTATGCAGATCCATAACGTAATAGGGTTTGTTTTTAGAAGGAGAAATTACTGATTCTGTTGCACCTTTCACTTTTCTTATAGCTGTCCTGTAGACCAACAAGAAATGCTATTTGTTGGTGAGATCTGCCACGAAACATTATAATGTGATAAGGAACTTTGTTGTATTACCCACCGCCAGTGATGATAGTGTTGATGAAGTTGGCCTCGTCACGGCTTGTGACAGATGCCAGATTTGCACCGAGTCGTTCACTATCGTTTCTTTGCTTCTTCCATTTGGCTGCATCTTTCATCAACTTGTAGCAGTGGTTCTTATATCCACTCCACCCCGCAGGACATTGTTTGGCTGTAACATAAACGATTACGGTATTTAAATTTCAACTTCTTTCAAGTAGTTTACAAACTGTTCTTGGAAGAATCTCTGTTCAATCTAAATGCGCTAAAATTTCATTATTTTGCCAACACAAGAGATTAAAACTCACCTTGCCGACGTCGACAGTTCTGTCCAGTCCATCCAGGTTTGCAGGTACATATGTATGCGCCATATAGTTTCAAACAGTGTCCATGTATGCACGGTTTTCCGCCACATTCATTCAGGTCTGTGCCAAAACAGGGAAAACAGGTTGTTGTGCTAAAACAGGGACAAATCGAAAAGCCTTTGTACTGTAGATGTTGGGTATTCTAACTTTCTTTCCAAATGACTGATAGTTGAACAATGATTTTACAAAATACAGAAACAAGCAAATATCAGCCACATTGCATTTAAACTTTGAATGCTACAAAACGCTCACTTTGCTGACAGTACTTTCCAGTCCATCCAGCGTCGCAGGTACATTTGAATCCGACATCTTTGTTCATACAGCGTCCGTGTTGGCATGGACGCCTGGCACATCCATTCAGGTCTGCGTCAAAAGAAAAAAGTCAACTATGCTAGATAGAGCTAGCTAATAAGCAAGTACAGTACATAGATATTGGACATTCTCGTCTTATTCAAAACGTGATATTGAGTCAGGGACCTTTGACTAATAAAGAACAGACATTAAACTTTGACTGTACACACTGAAAACTACTCACCTTGCTGACAGTTCTGTCCAGTCCATCCAGGGTTGCAGGTACAGTTGTATCCGCCATCTTTGTTCACACAGCGTCCATGTTTGCATGGGTTTCTGGTACATTCATTCAGGTCTGTGTCAAAACAGGAAAATCAAGTTATTGTGCTAACGATTACGGTATTAAAATTTCAACTCCTTTTAAGTAGTTTACAAACTGTTCTTGGAAGAATCTCTGTCCAATCTAAATGCGCTAAAATTTCATTATTTTGCCAACACAAGAGATTAAAACTCACCTTGCCGACGTCGACAGTTCCGTCCAGTCCATCCGGGGTTGCAGTAACATATGTCTACTAAGCCACATACGTCCAAACAGTGTCCATGAATGCACGGGTTTCCGCCACATTCATTCAGGCCTGTGCCAAAACAGGGAAAACAGGAACAAATCGACAAACATTTCTAGTATAGATGTTGGGGATTCTAACTTTCTTTCCAAATGACTGATAGTCAGCCATACTGTAAACTTAAAATTCAGCAAAAAATCTCACCCTGCTGACAGTACTTTCCAGTCCTATACCAGGGTTGCAGGTACATTTGTATCCGCCATTCTTTGTTCACACAGCGTCCATGTAGGCATGGATTTCCAGTACATTCATTCAGGTCTGTGTGATGAACAGAATCATATAAATCCTACAGCTAAGTAAGTCAAATATCATCTTATAGCAAATCAGTTGCTACATAGTGTAAAGGTTCATGTTTCAAGAAAGTGATAAGGAATCCTGGCATATATGACTAACACTAATTTAACACTCACCTTGCTGACAGTTCTGTCCAGTCCATCCAGGGTTGCAGGTACATGTGTATCCGCCATCTCTGTTCACACAGCGTCCATGTAGGCATGGATTTCCAGTACATTCATTCAGGTCTGTGTGATGAAGGTAATCATATAAATCCTACAGCTGAGTAAGTCAAATAACATCTTATAGCAAATCAGTTGCTACATAGTGTAAAGGTTCATGTTTCAAGAAAGTGATAAGGAATCCTGGCATATATGACTAACACTAATTTAACACTCACCTTGCTGACAGTTCTGTCCAGTCCATCCAGGGTTGCAGGTACATGTGTATCCGCCATCTTTGTTCACACAACGTCCATGTTTGCATGGGTTTCCGGTACATTCATTCAGGTCTGTATAAATACAGAAAAACGTTGCTGTCCTAAGTTAAATTAATGGAGTAAATGGATGTTGGGCATTTCAACACTGTTTTAGAATGAGAGTAAATCAGTAAAATACCCTAAGTAGGCTAATAAACGATGCATCTATTGTAAAACTTCGACTTTTACACAAAAAGACCTCACCTTGCTGACAGCTCTGTCCAGTCCATCCAGGTAAGCAGGTACATTTGTATCCACCAGCTTTGTTCACACAGCGTCCATGTAGGCATGGGTGCCTGGTACATTCATTCAGGTCTGTGTGATGAAGATAATCATATAAATCCTACAGCTGAGTCAGCCAAATATCATCTTATAGCAAATCAGTAGATATACAGTAAAAAGGTTCATGTTTCAAGAAAGTGATAAAAGAATCCAGGCATATATGACTAAGACTAATTAAAAGCTCACCTTGCTGACAGTTGTGTCCAGTCCATCCAGGGTTGCAGGTACATTTGTATCCACCATCTTTGTTCACACAGCGTCCATGTAGGCATGGTTTCTTGGTACATTCATTCAGGTCTGTGCCAAAACAGGGAAAACAGGTTGTGCTAAACCAGAGACAAATCGACAAACATTTGTAGTATAGATGTTTGGGATTCTAACTGTCTTACCAATGACCGAGCAATGATTTTACGAAATGCAGAAACAAATGCCAGTCACATTGTATTGAAACTTTAAGTGCCGCAAAATATCTCACCTTGCTGGCAGTACTTTCCAGTCCATCCATGATTGCAGGTACATTTGTATCCGCCATCGTTGTTAACACAACGTCCATGTAGGCATGGTTTCTTGGTACATTCATTCAGGTCTGTGCCAAAACAGGGAAAACAGGTTGTTGTGGTCAAGCAGGAAGGAATTGCCAACTATCTCCAGTATACATGGATGTTGGCCATTGCTGGGTATGTAAATTTTGCTTGCAAACAGACTAATAGTCAATCGGACAAGGGCTTTAGGAAATACAGAAAGACAGAAAAATTCATATTGTATCAACATCGCAACTTTGAATGCCACAAAAATGTCACCTTGCTGACAGTTCTGTCCAGTCCATCCAGGGTTGCAGGTACATTTGTATCCACCATCTTTGTTCACACAGCGTCCATGTAGGCATTGTTTCTTGGTACATTCATTCAGGTCTGTGCCAAAAACAGGGAAAACAGGTTATTGTGGTCAAGCAGGAAGAAATTGCCAACTATTTCCAGTATACATGGATGTTGGCCATTGCTGGGTATGTAAATTTTGCTTGCAAACAGACTGATAGTCAATCGGACAAGGGCTTTACAATATAGAAAAACACAGAAACATCCACATTGCATTTACATTGGAACTTTGAATGCTACAGAAATGTTACCTTGCTGACAGTTCTGTCCAGTCCATCCAGGGTTGCAGGTACATTTGTATCCGCCATCTTTGTTCACACAACGTCCATGTAGGCATGGTGTCTTTGTACATTCATTCAGGTCTGTGCCAAAACAGGGAAAACAGGTTGTTGTGGTCAAGCAGGAAGGAATTGCCAACTATCTCCAGTATACATGGATGTTGGCCATTGCTGGGTTGTAAATTTTGCTTGCAAACAGACTGATAGTCAATCGGACAAGGGCTTTAGGAAATACAGAAAGACAGAAAAATTCATATTGTATCAACATCGCAACTTTGAATGCCACAACAATGTCACCTTGCTGACAGTTCTGTCCAGTCCATCCAGGGTTGCAGGTACATTTGTATCCGCCATCTTTGTTCACACAGCGTCCATGTAGGCATGGTGTCTTTGTACATTCATTCAGGTCTGTGCCAAAACATGGAAAACAGGTTATTGTGGTCAAGCAGGAAGAAATTGCCAACTATTTCCAGTATAAATGGATGTTAGGCATTGTTGGGTATGTAAATTTTGCTTGCAAACAGACTGAGAGTCAATCGGATAAGGGCTTTACAATATAGAAAACACAGAAACATCCACATTGCATTTACATTGGAACTTTGAATGCTACAGAAATGTTACCTTGCTGACACTTCTGTCCAGTCCATCCAGGGTTGCAGGTACATTTGTATCCGCCATCGTTGTTCACACAGCTTCCATGTTGGCATGGTTTCCAGGTACATTCATTCAGGTCTGTATCAACACAGAAAAACGTTGCTGTGCAAAATGGAATTACTGGCATTGGAGTAAATGCATGTCGGGCATTTCAACTTTGTTCTAGGAAATGACAGTCAATGAATCACGGACCTTGATTTATAGGCTCATACACACTGCACCTAAATCTTCGACTGCTACACAAAAAGAGCTCACCTTGCTGACAGTTCTGTCCAGTCCATCCAGGGTTGCAGGTACATTTGTATCCGCCATCGTTTGTTCACACAGCGTCCATGTTCACATGGGTTTCCATCACATTCATTCAGGCCTGTGTGATGAAGATAATCGTATAAATTCTAAAAAGCCAAATATCATCTTATAGCAAAACAGTAGCTATACAGTGTTAAGAATCCTGGCTTATATGCCTAACACTTATTAAACGCTCACCTTGCTGACAGTTCTGTCCAGTCCATCCAGGGTTGCAGGTACATTTGTATCCGCCATCTTTGTTCACACAGCGTCCATGTAGGCATGGTTTCCAGGTACATTCATTCAGGTCTGTGCCAAAACAGGAAATGGGGAAACGTTCGTTAAGATTAATCGTAGAAAAGCACATACCAGAATCATTGAGGACCTCATACAAACATTTTTTACCTGTGGTTGGCAGAGACGTGACGGTTACTGGCAGGGTCTTGGAGTCCAGGCTGATGTTTGCAAATGGCTCCAGCCATTCCAGTGCAGCAGTGTGGTTATAGTCGAAGAATGTCGTCAGGAATGGAGAGCTCACTTTCTGTAGGTTTGCCCTGATCATCATGTCTTCTTGCATCATTGAGCCAAGTGCGTCCTACAGCCGTATGGAGACTACATTTAGAATCCGAGGTTCATCATTACGTACAAGGTCAAATCGTTTCGTACTGAATTTGTAAAGCAAATCCCTCAACATCATTACTGACAATGACAATGACACAGTTCTAACGCCGGCGTCTCAATGCTGGACGAGCTCAAAGAGAATAATCTCCAAGCAGATTCCATGGGGCAAGGGCAGTCTATATTGGTTGCTTGTTTCTAGTGGATACAGCCGGCTAATATAGACTCCCCTTGCACCACAGAATCTGTATCCCCTTGCACCACAGTCTTTATCCAGTGAATACAGCCGGCCAATAGAGACTCCCCTTAAGCCCCACGGAGTCTGCTTGGAGAAGAGAGCTCAGGAGAATTTGTTTTCGACTCTGGGGATTTTGAAAAGCGGCGACCTTCTGGCGGTTACCAAATGTGACGCCGACGTAATGACTCTTACAAAGTCGTCTAGGTGGAATGAAGCTACGATAGAAGCCAGTTTATTTACAGCAATCTCTTTCGGCGGCAACGTACTCCCAGCATTATCGGGCTTTGAAGACGATAATTACAGGGAATGAATGGGGACCTACTGGCCTACCTGAGTTCTCGCAAGGCCGAGAAAAGTTGTCAGGATTATAGCGGCGACAGCTGACGCTATCACCACGATCCCACAACCCACTGCAGGCACGATCACTCTGCTAGATATCACCCTAGTCCACAGGCCAATGACACGGGCTGAACACAAAAGATAAGTGGGGACACCTTAACCTACATCAATTCTCCACAACCGCAAATTAAGACCATACAAT